CCAAGGCCCAGCTTGTTTATCTTTTTTGTTGCTGTTGGTACTAGGGTTGAACTCAGGTCTTATTCTTGCTAGGCAGGTGCTCATACTTGAACCATGCTTTAAGCACAGAAAATATTCTAAGTGAAACTTTATTACCAGGATTCACATGGGATTTTCATGAAGCTAAGCAAGTTCAGAGCTAAAAGATTGAAATCTAGATTCTCAAGGACAAATTTCAGTGCCCCTAGAAAATGTCCCACACCTGTCCTGCCCATATTAGCATTTACCAAGTGTTTGTTGACAATCTGGGCTGATGAATGGACCAGTGATTCTTCTGGACAAAGATCAGTCAGCAGTTTAGGCACCTTGAAGAAAAAGATTTGAAAAAGACCAGAAAAACACTTTAAAAACCACTTTAGATAAAATCCTATGCCTAACCAAAAATGTGGAAGTTCTCTGCCACTGTTTCTTTCTTTCTTTTTTTTTTTGTCCAGTCATGGGGCCTGAACTCTGGGCCTGGGCACTGTCCCTCAGCTCAAGGCTTACAGCTAGCGCTCTACCACTTGAACCACAGCATCACTTCCTGCTCACTTGAATTACAGTGGCCATGTATAAGGTAAGAATAGAAGAGGACTGATCCTGATTATGTTTTTTTTTAACCATTCAAAAGAACACATGAAAGGGAAGTTCATAGTATTCTTTCTCCAGGATGAGAACACTGAAAATCAGGTTAATAGTGTAGGAAGTTTTGGCTAGTGACCTATCAGCATGGACATAATACTAGTCAGAGCACTGTATGTGGTGGCCACACTAGCTGAGGAGGCCTTGCCAGCACTGGTTACTGAGCATATGACCAGTCCCAGCTCTTTTTTTTTGGTTGGTTATGGGGTCTGAACACTGGGCCTGGACACTGTCCTTCAGCTCTTCAGCTCAAGGCTAGCACTCTACTACTTGAAACACAGTGCCACTTCTGGCTTTTTTCTGCTTATGTGGTGCTGAGGAATTGAACGCAGGGCCTCATGCATGCAAGGCAAGCACTCTACCAGCCCTCCTGGGATCTTTACTATTTACTATATTCTAACCAAGGCTCTTGGGCCTTTCTGCTGCATAGCTCCTGCTGCACTTCAGAGATTATTTTTCTATCTATAAACCTGCTTCCTGAACAGGCTAACAGATTCTAGAACTGGGTAAACATGGAACCAATTGTGATTTCTCAGTTTTCTGGTTTAGGGGATTCCCTTGGATATATAACCAATCCAGGTTGAGGCAAGCTAAAGTTATATCATATACTGGTAGGGGTTCTGAAGTTTCTAGAGCCAGGTTTTCATCAGGAAAATCTCAAATCTCCCTGGTATCTTTTTCTTTTCTTTTTTTTTCTTTGTCGGTCATGGGGCTTGAACTCTGGGCCTGGGCGCTGTCCCTCAGCTCTTCAGCTCAAGGCGAGCGCTCTACCACTTGAGCTACAGCGTGACTTCAGGTTTTCTGGTGGTTTATTGGAGATAGGAGTCTCACGGTATTTCCTGCCTGGGCTGGCTTTGAACAGCGATCCTCAGATCCCAGCCTCCTGAGTAGCTAGGATTATAGGCGTGAGTCACCGGCGCCCAGCTTCACCTTAATACTTTACTGCTTTATTCCTCTGAATTTTGTTACTGGTCTCATCATCTTTCTCTCTTAAATGTTCTTCCTGGATTTACAATACAGTAAAGAGCTCTGCTATACCCTTAGCCTCTCCACTGTTCCCTTTGCTACCCTCTGTCTTAAAACCTTTTTTTCTTTTTTCTTTTGTTGGTCGTGGGGCTTGAACTCTGGGCCTGGGTGCTGTCCCTGAGCTCTTTAGCTCAAGGCAAGCACTCTACCACTTGAACCACAGCTCCATTCTGGTTTTCTGGTGGTTAATTGGAGATCAGAGTCTCCTGGATGTTCCTGCCCAGGCTGTCTTTCAACTGTAATCCTCAGATCTCAGCCTCCTGAGTAGCTGGGATTACAGGTAAGAACACTGGCACTCAGCTGATCTGGGTTATCTTTGAGGGCTATGCTTCTCCTCCAATGGAAGTCATTTACTCCGTAGCTCACAAACTGTAGGGATAGAAGGAGAGGCAAGACTTTTTTTTT